CTGGTTGGTATTTTAAAATTTTGAAATCCGACTGAATTGGCAAACGACGGATTCTCAGGAGGCAATCCTTTCGGCGAGATTATTTGCGTAATAACAGCAGTAAATGAGAATACGAACTGAATTTTACAGTGATCTTTACTAAAATGGGAGTATATTATTATCGTAAAGTTAATCATTTTCACAAATATTATGAAATCAGTTTCAACTATGTATGCAAAAATTTGCTGAAATAGTGGTGGGAGATAGAGGCGACAAAAATCTGGGATACGATTAAATTTAGGTTAAATTTTCTGTATTAATGAAATGAGTTATTTGATAGCTCATAACTCATCCAATTTCTTAACTGAACCAGTAAATCCACATTAATTGAACCAAGTGGAAATTATTACTATCCACTGAAATGAATGGGTCAGTCAGAATTTTCTTTCTGTTCTATCTTATAAATCTTTTTTTTCTTTAACCTTTAACCTTTTTTTAGAAGCGTTCACCGTTTTTAGTTTATTTGGTCCAACTGGCTATTAAGATAAGATCTCTCGGCTTAGGAATTACTTGTGATAATAAAAATTCACTTAGAGATAGACGAATGAGCAAATTTCAATTTCACTCCTCGATATTCAATGAGTTAAGGGAATATAGCACTCAGCCAATCTCTCTCTATCGTGTATGGATAGAAGTGTATAAATTAACTATCAAAAATGGAAAAAATATCGAAATTCGAAGACTAAAAAAACGAGTTTTAAATGGAAAAAGGAATGTTAATATGGGTTTACTTCTAATAATTTTATTATATATATGCATCTTTCTTTTTTTTCGAAATTTTTCCTTTTTTCTAATCGTTTATATAGATTGGCTATAAACAAACAATCGCACAAGTAAGTAATAATTTTTCTTATCTTATTGTCAAAAAATGGAAAAATTAGCATTTCCATAAGGACAATCGTACTTTTTTCCTCAACATTGCTGGTTAAACTCGCTCTTCTGGCTTGTCACACTGGAAAAATATGCCAGGAGGTCCCTTGGTGATAAAAGTACAGGTGAATCGTCAGCATCACTTGGATTTTTGGATAAATTTATTCCTACGTGAAATGGAACCTCAGCATAGTATAAGTTATAACGTACAATGCGAGCATCATTATCAGCATTCATCATCATCATTACTATCATTATTATTATCGTCATCATCGTTATCATCATCGCCATTATCGTCGTCGCTAACCTCCCAATTTTTAGTTGCAAAAAAATTTATTTATTGAAATAAAGGATACTTTTGAAAATGAGGAAATTTTTTGAGAACTTTTTTAATTAAAATTTTCTCATGATTAATAATTAATTTATTGCGTTTTGTTTTAAAAGATTTTGAAATTTTAAAAGAGGAACGATTAATTTCAACAAAAATTTTTAGAAGAAAGAAATGAACTATTTCGCTCACAATATGTACATACCAAAATATATCATATTTCTGATCATTGGATTCACTATATCGATGATCGCTTTGTTTATTCCTGCTTGGCGGGTTTGCAATTTTTCCCAATTATTTCCCATCACCAGATAGTTCATATGCAGTATAGCCAAGTGGTGTGTTGTATGTTGCGGTAAATTTTAAATATCCACACTAGCAGAACTGAACCCATTATTGGAAAATTTCGTCACATCTGCTACTATTTTTTTGTTCCAGAAAATTTGTATGAAGAATGATGATTCGGTTTTCTTCACTACCAAATTTTTTATTTGGTAAAAAAAAATTAAGGACGGACTTTCCTCATCAAAACAGCTCTACAAGAAGGCCTTCAGATCAATTTAATAATAGTTTAGTTTGAACAGTTTCCTCCCCCTCACTTCCCTTCATTCTATTTTATCTTTCCTATAAGGATTATATATTTATTTTATTTACAACAAGAGGAATAATAATATTATTGGTGTCTTTTCAAAATTTCAATTTCTTATGCATCAGCAGTTCAACAGAAAGCAATAAGGTAGAAGGATCCGAGATGGGTGGACCACATTAAAAATCTCGAGGTTAACTCAACGATTATTTTATTGCTTTCGCTATTTTTTTGTTCAGGGTGCGTATGTTGATCAGTTATTCTCAACGATACTGCATGGTTTATGGATGACTTGCATAAAAAGGTCAAATAATTTCTTAATTTATTCCTTAATTATTCCTTTAAGTTTAGTCCTTCAAAAATTTCCTTTTTAAAAAATTCGTTCGTTCAATTGTTCCTAAAAAATAGTTGAAGCCTAGAAAATTTGTTCCTGATTGAAGGTTTTTTTCCAATAAATATTCGACCTTGAATAAACGTTTCTCAATTCCTGAAAATTATTAGGCCGAAAGAAAATCTCTTCTGTTTGTTCTTTATTGAAGGAAATGATTATAATTCAACTTTTATCAAAAATATCGGTTTGGAAATGTTTAATTCCATAAGTAAGTTTGGCATATTTTTGCAATGCTTCGAATTAGTTTCATTTATTCATAATAAAATTAGAAGGAAGACGGCGAACGATAATTGCCGAAAGTATTCCATGCAAATCTTCTCTCCGTTGTTTCAGTTTTTCATTATTCCTCAATAAAATTTTTTATTTTTTAGAGAATAAGGAAAAAAAGCGAAGAAATTTTAAAAATGTAAACATTAATAATAAATAGGACTTCGCAGAAAAAAAATTTAAATAATTTATTGTGCGGGCTAACATTGGATATTGCAAATTCGTCAATGCAAAACAGACTTTTCCATTTTAATTATTTATAATTCGAAAAGAAGATTTAAAGATTTATACTTCCCATCTCGCCGTTTCCATTTCTCTTCGGCACAAACTCAGCGGATAAATTCTAAATTCTAATAAACGCTGCAGCATGCCAAAATATTGCATCGAATGCCCTTGTGGCTTCTCAGTTATTAATTTTCGGATTGGTCGTTAGCAGTTGGTTCTACGGTTTCAGAGCACTTCGACACTGCGTTGTTCTGTTCATTGAAATTTTAATAATAATGGCTGGCAAGTTTTTTGCCAAATTACGATTAAATTCCTTCTAAATAATCTTCAAAAAATGAGCAATTGAAATGAAAAAAATTAGTTTGGCTTAATATTTAATTTAAATTTTTAATTTATTATTTCAATTTTGTTAATTAAGTTCATTCATTTGAATATCTAATTAAACTCTTTTTTTAGTCCTCACCATTACTGGTTAAACTCGCTCCACTGGCTTGTCGCATTGGGAATATGCCAGGGAGTTCCTTGGCGTCAGAATATATAGATATATGTAATACAGATGAGTCGCCAGCATCCCCGGATCTTTGAACAGGTTTATTCCTGTGGGGAATCGAACCTCAGCATTGGCGCTCCCAATTGACCAACAACCCACTGAGCCATTCTATCCACAGTTAAACCCATTAGGTTCATAGAAACTTTCTAATTGCAGAAAATCCAAATATTTTCAGTAATTTATAAATATTTTGTAAAATTAATTGTTTTAACATCAAAATTTCACCATCATATTTTATGCAAATAATTCTAACAGATTTTTGCGCAAAAATTCTTTTGAAACTCTTCGAAACTAAGCTTATAAAATCTTTTTCTACCAACAAATCATAAGAATCAACTTTGCAGTTGTATCAAATATTGGAGGTTGTACGGCTTATCTGATATGCAACCCCCAACAACTCATTTACAATGGCATCAACGTAGAGGTAAGCAAATTAATTTCGTGTGCACTAAATATGGAATAAATCTGAAATACTATTAGAAAATTTTTATAGGATTTAGCGATGAATTAAACACAATTAACTAAGTTGTAGTTTTCGCTGACTGTTTGGTAAAAATTAAAGTGTACTTGAATTGACACATTTTAGATGTCTGCTGGATTGTCGCTTTATATGACAATTATCGGTACGATATTCTATATAATCGCTGGAATTATGTTTATTCTTAAGCACAGAAATCTAACCGCGAAATCCATATTCATACCCGACCAAAATGTTAGTGAAAAACACTAACTAACCTTAATTATTCACAGAAAAAAGGCTTTGTGGACATTCCCACAGATCAATGTGCTTCCCAGCACTCATTTTTTGTTTTGACTGGCTTAACATCAGACTTATTTAGGGTATGAGAGCATGACCTTCCGTGAAACAACAATCTGGGACTAGAAATGCAGAAAAAACCCATTTTTAATGACAGCTTTATTCCTGTCAAGCAAAAGGAATCGAACTAACGATATTCGGTTGTAGTAGTTTGAACCGGAACTTCACCTCCAATTCCACGCTACTCATTTTGCTAAGAAACTTGACTTTGGCGTTTTCAGGTAAACCTTAAATCTCGAAATGGAATGAGCAGTCACACAATTGCCCAACGAAAAAATACGCCATACTTTCGCGCAAATATCAATAAGAAAACTTGAACAGAAAACCAAATCATAAATTTCCGAATTTACTTCAAATTCTATGTAAATATAATTTCATGCGTTAACAGCGCTATCATGTTGCGATTTATTCGCCAATAAATTTATTGTCAGATATTGATAATCTATCTGTTCGCCCATGAAATAGAATGATAAACCCTCAAAGATCTCTGAACTTTTTGAAACAATCTACTTATTTTCTGATTTCAAGACTTTATCAATAACTTAAAAAATTATCCATTTATATAACAATTTGCTATGCTGACATCTGGTGAAAAATCGATATCCTCCAAAAATTGTCAAAATCCTACTCCTTTCAAACAGCCCCCACAATTTCAAGGTTTCCTTGGTCTAGAGACCAACAACACTCTCTGCAGTCTCTCTTCATTTTAATCCTTTAATGATCTATAATGATTGTTTACCTCTTTAAATCGTTTTTTACCCATCTTTATAACTTCCACTGAATTCCCCTTCCTTAGCATTTCTTGAAATTCGCAAAATTTCCTTAATACTCAATCAAAATTTGTTTAAAAATACTTATCCACAGTACAGAATATTTTAATGTTTTATTAAATAACATGGCTTTTCTAAACCAAAAAAACAAAAACAATTAATCAAAAAGCCCGAATCCCATGTCTTCATCAGATTCCTCTTCCTTCATTTCTTCTTTTTGCGCAGGTATGGGTTCAACCTTTATAGCCGCACTTGCCGCTGGAGCTGAAATGGCTGAAGATACCGCAAATTTCGATGGATCCGCCAGATATTCTTTGATCTAAAGCATTTTGTGATGAATAAGAGGCCATTAAAAAAATTAGAATAGTAAAAAACGAGAAAGAAAAAACGAGTTTACGATTTAAGGCGCGTAAGAAATATATCTTTCATTTGTTTAAATGATTTGCTATACCCAGAAAAAAAATCTATTGTATTTTGATGAAAGAATATAGGGAAATACCATATGAGCCTCTTTGAAATCAATGTCGGTTTCAACGGCAATTGCCAATAGATTTTTAAGACCATTGACGATCGAATGTGAAATAGAACACATTGTTGGATGACCGATCGAAAGTGATACAGCAGCCACATTACGTACTCCTTCAAGGAAACGACTACGGATATCTTCTGCGGTAACATCTAATACATTTGGAGAAAAAACCATTCCATTTTCATAAACCTTAATAATACTAATAAATTTCTCCTAAAATTTCAAATATCAAATATATTAGACATAATACATAACAACTAGAAATATTACATGAAAAAAATATTTTTCAAACTTACTTGCTGAACAACAAGACCATAAGTGAACGGTTGTATATTTAGCATATTCAATAAAGCCGCTTCAGATGCTCCAACTTTTTCACCAACTTTAATCAAATGCACTTCATTAAGAATTTCAATAGTGCCACGAGAAATTTTTGTAGGAATTTGAAGAGCTTGGAAAAACGATGTTTTTTCAGGACCCATTCCTGTATTTTGTGGAGGCAATTTGACATCGCAAGGAGCAATGGCTCCTGCTTTGGCAGGCGCACCCTAAACAATAAGACTATAAGACTGTTGAAAATAAACAAAAAATAACAATAATGAACAAATAAATAAATAACAACACAACTTGCCCGTCTATTTTCCAACAATTTATTTCGTATATCACTCAGATCTTCCTTGGTGAATACAAAACCAACATTGCCCACAATATGTGGCATGAGCTTTTCCAGATCAGGATTAGAACTTAAATGACCGCGAATAGCTTTTCGGATCATTGTATTTTTGCCCATAAGTATCTCAGCATGGCCTAAATATCCATTTGCTATTTCAAGAATTTCCAAGAATATCAGTTTACACTATAAGCGTAAAAAGTTATGTATTTAAAAAAGAGGAAGCCATTAAAATTGAAAATGGTTTGGCTATTCCATAAGATATGGTTATGGTTTTTTCTAAAAAATATTACAAGTTTATTTTTTTTCTAAAAAATATTACAAGTTTATTTGATTATTTCTATATTTCTTGATTATATCATCTAAATCACGATTGAATAAAAATTTCAAACCTCGCATCGCGTGTCGAATTTCTTGCATCTGTTTTGAACCAACGTTATCTACTCCAACAATAAAGCATTTTGGATATTCTTCTAAGAATTTGATAATTTTTAAGAAATAATTTGATTTCCACAATTGTTTGTCTTCCCTGCCCATCGTGGTGAAGCAAGGATCGTTTCCAAAAACGATTTAAAGACCTGTAATTGATTACAAACGTTGAAATGTCAAAGAAAACATGGAAAAGGACACTCGACGCTGCTTTAACTATCAACTATCAACATGGTTTCAGCCTTGAAGGAAGGGAACCTTACCATTGGTAACGCTAGGAATTCATCTGTAATTTCATTCCCAATTGAATGGTGAATGGGATTTCCCATGTGGGCAAATAGTGAGTGCTTGTAAGAACAAAAATTCTATCTTCATGAATGTCATAAACATAAGTCAAATCATAAATAAAAAAAATGTAACAAAATTATAAGTCATTTTAATAAGCGAATATAATTATTAAGTGGATACAAGAATCATTTAGGCGACATTCATCTCATATAAACAGCAATAATTAACGGTGGTACGCCAATTATAAAATCCTTTTGTTATTTAATAGTGTAAAAAATATTTAATAATTATTTATAAATATTTAATTCAGATTGTTTGATATCACTCACAAGGATATTGCGTACAAATCACGTACTTTTATCCTTTTCTTTTGCAGTGTACGCCGCATCTCTTGTTGTAATTTCTATCATCAGTAAAACTGATCTGCAGCAAACACATGGTATCGGTTAACCAAAATGTCATTTTGCCGACAATTAATGATAATAAATATGATATGATTAACACATATAGTTAAATATTTAATAACAGTTAGCAACATGAAATAATATAAAAAAAACAGCGATAGCGGCTGATAGGAATAATTAAATGGATAAGAAAGAAAAAATGACCACAAAATGTTAACTTCAAGGTGTTATTTGGACCTTTGAAGCATCGAAACATCGATAAAAAGCAAAGAGGACTTGAAGAGCGAGCGAAAATTTTAAAATATAGCTGAAGCCAAACAAACAAATATAAAAAATAAGGTCAAATATAAAGATAAGAAATAAGCGTGGACAAATAAAACATATAAAAGATTACAACTATAAAAAAAAGCATCAGTGGAAACAGTACTACGAAGGAGCCAAACAAGGAGCCAAATAAGACAAGCAACTGATGAACACCGTTAACAAATCTTCAATACCATGCATTGTAGAAAGAAAACAGAAAAATTCATCAGGAGACTGGGATATTATATCAGGCGCTCAGGCGCTCTGCGAAGACAGTGCCAAGGTCTGAAGAGGCATTAAGACGATTTTTATAAGTGGTTAATGCTATTTTTGCCAGGATCCACTTGGCGACAAAAATGCAAGTTTTTTCACCAAAGAACTATTCAAACCTAATGTTAGAGACGGTAATCTTAGTAGCAACGGCTATTCTGCCACCAACCTTACTTCAGAGCTACCCAGGGGTACTTGCCCGATCGCAGATGGACAATCAGGACATGAAATCTTTTCCATATTATGTACAATTAAAAGTGAGACAATTAAATAACTGAAACAAGCCCAGAAACCTATAAAAGATCTTAAATCTAAAACTCCCTAAAACCTCCTAACCAATCAACATAGGATCCTCCGGATGAGCGAAACTTCGGCGGAACTTCCTGTCTCTCTTCGTCCAACTGCAAGATTCGAATCATTAAAATTCGACACCTAGCGTACAACAATTATTACCACACTGCTTGCTTTCAGGTGAATTTCATCGCTTGATTATTGCGAAGACGAACTGCTACAATTTCCCTTATACAGTGGCAAGAAAACATCTAATTTCCCGTCGACATCGATTATCATTAAACTAACAAGTATGCGGATTGGTGAAATACCTCAAAGACGTATCGATTTCCAGAAGTCTTAATGTTCATGATGGATTTCATTGCATGAATCACGAATTGTGAAGAAGTGATCAGAAACCTGGTAAAATTAAATAAGTCGCATTAATACGACTGTAGTAACTTCCGAACTTAGACTAACTGACACATCGAACTTCCACCCGAACTAAAAGAAAGAAAAAGCAGATGTACTCAATTGTCGGGTGAGTAATTGTCTTGCCGTCGCGCCGAGGCCGAATTTTGAGGAAGTTGTAAGTGAATTACTATTACCGTTTCTTTTGTGATAGTAAGCCTAACGCTTGGTCTACAATTGGTGAAAGGATGGTGAATGAGGGTCAGATGAGGAGGAGGGGGAAGGGTGGTTGGTATCAATTAGAGTGGTGCAATATGGCTAGAGCATTCGTAAGTGTGAAAAGATTTTATTTGAACGAGATGTATTTTGTTCACTTTTTGAAAAAAGTGGATTGGACTAGAGGTTAATCTTTTTTGCTTTGTGGATTCTGTCTGGATTCGGTTACCCGTGGATGAAATACTTACCCCTTCTCCAGACAGTATTTTTAAATGCGTCGGATGAAACACTTGGGAAGACAATGGAAAGTGTACAATGTGACGAAAATTCATGATCTGTATCAGTGTCACATTGCAATACTTTTACAATATTTCATTATGCCATCATTCAGAAATGAAGTAAAAGGTTAAATTTAGGTCCCTAAGATGTTTTTGAAAACAATTCTTGCTTCATGACGACAAGTAGGGAAGGCGATTAATTATGGAAATCAAATTATTTCTTAAAAATTATCAAATTCTTAGAAGAATATCCAAAATGCTTTATTGTTGGAGTAGATAACGTTGGTTCAAAACAGATGCAAGAAATTCGACACGCGATGCGAGGTTTGAAATTTTTATTCAATCGTGATTTAGATGAAGTAATCAAGAAATATAGAAATAATCAAATAAGAAATAATCAAATAAACTTGTAATATTTTTTAGAAAAAAAATAAACTTGTAATATTTTTTAGAAAAAACCATAACCATATCTTATGGAATAGCCAAACCATTTTCAATTTTAATGGCTTCCTCTTTTTTAAATACATAACTTTTTACGCTTATAGTGTAAACTGATATTCTTGGAAATTCTTGAAATAGCAAATGGATATTTAGGCCATGCTGAGATACTTATGGGCAAAAATACAATGATCCGAAAAGCTATTCGCGGTCATTTAAGTTCTAATCCTGATCTGGAAAAGCTCATGCCACATATTGTGGGCAATGTTGGTTTTGTATTCACCAAGGAAGATCTGAGTGATATACGAAATAAATTGTTGGAAAATAGACGGGCAAGTTGTGTTGTTATTTATTTATTTGTTCATTATTGTTATTTTTTGTTTATTTTCAACAGTCTTATAGTCTTATTGTTTAGGGTGCGCCTGCCAAAGCAGGAGCCATTGCTCCTTGCGATGTCAAATTGCCTCCACAAAATACAGGAATGGGTCCTGAAAAAACATCGTTTTTCCAAGCTCTTCAAATTCCTACAAAAATTTCTCGTGGCACTATTGAAATTCTTAATGAAGTGCATTTGATTAAAGTTGGTGAAAAAGTTGGAGCATCTGAAGCGGCTTTATTGAATATGCTAAATATACAACCGTTCACTTATGGTCTTGTTGTTCAGCAAGTAAGTTTGAAAAATATTTTTTTCATGTAATATTTCTAGTTGTTATGTATTATGTCTAATATATTTGATATTTGAAATTTTAGGAGAAATTTATTAGTATTATTAAGGTTTATGAAAATGGAATGGTTTTTTCTCCAAATGTATTAGATGTTACCGCAGAAGATATCCGTAGTCGTTTCCTTGAAGGAGTACGTAATGTGGTTGCTGTATCACTTTCGATCGGTCATCCAACAATGTGTTCTATTTCACATTCGATCGTCAATGGTCTTAAAAATCTATTGGCAATTGCCGTTGAAACCGACATTGATTTCAAAGAGGCTCATATGGTATTTCCCTATATTCTTTCATCAAAATACAATAGATTTTTTTTCTGGGTATAGCAAATCATTTAAACAAATGAAAGATATATTTCTTACGCGCCTTAAATCGTAAACTCGTTTTTTCTTTCTCGTTTTTTACTATTCTAATTTTTTTAATGGCCTCTTATTCATCACAAAATGCTTTAGATCAAAGAATATCTGGCGAATCCATCGAAGTTTCCGGTATCTTCAGCCACTTCAGCTCCAGCTTCAAGTGCGGCTTAAAAAAATCGAACCCATATCTGCGCAAAAAGAGGAAATAAAGGAAAAGAAATCTGATAAAGACATGGGACATTTTTAATTATTGTTTTGAGTGGATATTGTTAGCTTTCAAATAAAATTCTCAATTATACGTTTAGTGGATATGGATCTATGGTCGCTGTTACCACTGCCGAAGTGTTCATTTTTTTAAGCCTTTTTCAGCTGATATCTCAGTTACATTTCCAGTATATTTTTGCTTTTGTGAGGATGGATGATTTGTAGTTTTAATTTTATATAGGTATGACATATAAACATAAAATTCTTTCAACTGTGAGTTGTAAGGGTTATCCTCAATTTTATGTCTTATGCTTAAGGACTGAGGGCGTGAGATTCTTCGCAGTGTCTTGGTTTGTGGCTTTCTTTTTGGCCAATTGTCGCGGATTTGTTCCTGGGTTCTGTTTGGGCTACTTTCCCAGTTCTGTGGATAGCCTTTGGTAGTATTACTGCTGCTTTGGCCTTCATTTCTACATCTTCACTTCATCCGTGAATTCCGTGATTTATAAAAAGAAACTTCTCACCTCCCTTTGAACGGTTATGGTCATATTCACTTCGGGTTCTTTACCATTAGTCTTGGAGATTATGTATCTTAGCTGTTCCTAATAGTGCGTTTTTCTGGATAGAGATCTGTGATGTTGGGTTTAAGCTACTTTTGTAGTTTTGGGGTCATAGTTCCAAATACTTCATTTATCATTGGAAATCAATTTTAGCCTTTACTTTCCGTATTATCTCCATTTCCTCTTCCAGTCCTTGGTATTTCTCTAACTTTTCATATTTCCTCTTTACATTTGATTGATTATATTATTTCTATCATTTGATCTATTATTATTGTATCACCAGTATTGATTGATTTTTGGTTCTTATCTACTACCACTATATTTAATTGGCTAATATTTGTTTAATTGGCTCATACTTGTTTCTCTTGTTTCTGAATGGAAAAGTCCTGCATGATCTTCGCTTTATTATACTGTTTTATCTCTACAGTTTTCTGAAGAATCTCATTTAGTCTTTAGTCTTGAAAGAGCTTAATCCATATACCGATTTTCCTATAGGTGACAACTGCGTGATTATGGCTTTCAGTGTATGTTCCTCCTGCCTGCATCTGACATTTGGCCACTATGTATTGGGCTGTTTCTGGGGCATTTTTGCATAATCTGAATTTAAGAACTAATGTGGTAGTACTTGTTTCGATGGATCTGGTGTTTAATGCTTGTTCCTATGTTATAATTAATGCCTCAGTATTGCCTTTTAATCTGGCTTTCTTCATATTTCATGCTTTTACGTGCAGTCAGTGTGTTTAACTATTTCTAGATTTTTGCACTGTCCACACTTGCAGTCCTATATATTGTAGTAGGTAGATCCTTGTTTTAATGGGTCTGGTGCTTACTGCCTACCTTTGGTATTGTAATCAATTCTCCGACCATTGGTAGCGTTTTACAGTGTCAACTACCTCAGCTATATCTGTCTATCGATGATGCAGTTCATGGAGAGCCTTGATTTTCCATGGTATTTCTTCTGCTTAATCGTTTTCCAATGTTTCTATGTTCTTCAGACATTCTCTCATCAGTTCTTTGGTGCCATCTTATTGATATTTCTGAATGCTTCGAATTCAAAGTAGTAGTTTTCACATCCAAGTCCAATGCGCTTTCTTTCAGGCTGGTATATAGCCTTTGGGTATTGGAGTTGAGGTGGGGATTCCCGTGCATTGTGAGGAATTTCCTGATTTTTACGTTAGCAGCTTCCTGTTTTCCTTTGTTCAGCTTGCAATATTAGCTGCTTATCTGGCATTATAACATACATATTTATGGCATGGATTTTGTTCTTCCCATTAAGTTTCTTTTTCTTGTCCTTCTCTTGTCCTTTGGTGATGCATAGATGTAGCAGTTTTTCTCGTTTCCTTATTGTGGTTACAATGTGACTGTGGAATGAAAAAAGGTACTTGTGGATAGGCTGTATATGCTCTATATTTTCTCATGGCTGATTCTTATCAGTCATTATTGCATTATTAGTCATAACTACTTTTTCTCCCTTTACTACTTTTCGGCGACATTCCTCTAATCCGAATGTCATCCCAGTGTTCACGCTGTAGATCTAAGTTAGATGGATGAGCAAGTTAATGTCTCTTTCATTTTTTGCGCATAACTTGATATCATCCACGTTAAGAAAATGGCTGATGGTAATCTCGCTCTTGAATTTGGTTTCATATCCGCTTTTGGCGTTTATTTGATGTATCGCCTTGGTACCTTGATACGGCGCACTTGATAGCTACTTGTATAATAGATATTATATTCCTTGAGGTAGAAGCTTAGTTTCGGTCTGTCTATATGTATATATATAGACCGAAACTAAGTTTTTTATCGATAGTAATCGAGTTTGTTATTTGAAACCAAGCCTCGCTGAAGCATTTTTGAGTGATTTCCTGTTTAAACCACCATTTTTTCAGTTAATTTTTAGTGAAAAATGCTGATTTTCAAGGACATTTTCACAGGTTTGTGGGTTATTTGATTATATATTTATAATTTGGTATTAGTTTTTGATCAGGTTATTGCAGTACTGAAATATTTCTTATGCAAAATTGCTTTCCACAATCCTTGAGTTCATCGTATTGGGTGGCATTAGTGGCTCTAACTGTCGGCGTTCTGCTGGTAGAAGTTGCTGCTAATGCACCAATTACATCACGGTGAATGAGTCTTTTTGTGGGATATTATTTGAAGTGGTCAAGAAGTTTATACGTTATACGATAAACTATGATTATTTTAAACAGGCATATATAGGCCATTGTGAAAACATTTCTAAATGCCCAATTTATCTGACAGATTCAGTATATTTTCAAAGCATATATTTACGGATGTGAACGTAAAAATTTTCCATAAAATATAAAGATGCAAACGTTTTAGAAATTGGATGTTTAGGTAAAAATAGAAAATTAAGATTTTAGATAAATTTATTGTATTTAATTAATTTATTGTATTGTATTTATTTTTTTGTTTATCATATTGAAATATTTGTTTCGTTTTTAGGTGATGAACTTTGTTCGGATTCATTTCCTATGAAACTAATAGATGGTTTAGTTTGGGAATTTAAAGGAAGGCATGTGGTGAGGAAGGAAGGCGAAATAGTTCTCGCTGGTGCCAATCCTTCCGCTGAAGGTGAAGATGCAGACGAAGGAACCGACGAACATGTTGAGCGAGGAATAGATTTCGTCTTGAATCACAGGCTTATAGTGCGCCCTTTTTTCTTTTGTATATATATTTTGAAAGTCCTATCTTACTGGTTAAACTCGCTCGGCTGGCTTGTCGCACCGGACAAATATGCCACGGAGTTGTTTGGCGAAAGAGGTGCAGGTGAATTACCAACATCACTCGGATTTTTGAACAAGTTTATTCCTGCGGGAAATAGAACCCAGCATCGGCGCTTCGAATTGAGCATTCCACAGAGCCATTCTATTTTCATAGTTTATTCTTCTTCTAACAGCTCTCACCATTAGGCTGGCTCCAACGGCTATAAGGGTAAGACGCTTCCAAGCGGCGCGTCTGATGCCATCATCGACAGTAATAGAAGCTTTTTCTTTTTCCATCGTTTAAGTCCATATATTGTTGGTCCATCTATACGTTCAAAATCTTTCCTGACTGTATCAATCCAGGTCTTGATTGTCCCTCCTCGCTTTCACACCAACCATCACTGGGTTCAGCAAGAGAAACATGCGTCAGCTCCCGTGGTGGGCGATGGAGAATGTGCCCTAACCAGCGAAGGCTGTGCTATGTGATAACATTATTACGGGTAGTATTTGAGCGAAGATGGATACACAATTATATGTGATTTTATCTGCTCGACAGATCCGTAAAATGTATCTTTTCTGAGTGGTCAAAGGCTGATGACTTCTTAATGTCTCTCACTCTCCTTTCTTATATTTCGCAGCAAGATCGAGCGAATTGCCGCAGTAAATTTTTTTCTTCATAATGATTTCGCGATGGTTCCATAAAAGTCTTGTCAACCGGAAAAAATGAACAACATTTGAAGAGTTCGGCCTTAAGATCATTTTCTTCGGGGGTTTTATCGGCCCAATTTATGGATTACAGAGATTTTTTTTCTTTTCTTCTGACAGTTCATAGTCACAAACGTAAGGCTGGATGAGCGAATCAGTTATACGGGAAAACATATGACGCATCATAGTTAATTCCTGAATAAGCTTAACAGACTCCCAATATATATCCCGTATCATTCTTAAAGCCATATCGGCCCAATAGCGATTTCTTTCTCTCCCCTCCTTGCGTCGATCGTTGTAATCTTCGAAGCACTCGATAGTCAGTTTCTCCTGGCGTTAGGGCTTTGGCAACTTTTTTAGACAATTGGACAGTTGATTCCGACGTCTTACGTCCTCTAGCTCTATTGTGGAAGTGGCTGATTTTTATAAGCATGTCTTAAATGTCTTAAATGAAACCAGTATTAATTCGCCTTTCCAGAGATATCATCTCGACGTTCATTTCACTGCTATTTCAATAATACGGTTTGAAATACCCTTTTGCCGATTTCCCGATCTTTTAGTTTGAGATTGTTGAAGGATCTTGGGATATATTGTTTCTTACGACTTGTCATTTATACGAATCTTGGCTTCAAATCATAACATAGTCTGATCCATGGCGGTTACCAATTTCAGCACCCCGAATAAAAATGGTAAAAATGATCATTTTCAAGTACTCTTCCAGTATAGACTGATTCTCAAGGCCATATCACTATATAGTCAGTCTGGAATATTGATTGTTCGGAGGGTTCCATGTAGATGTTTTCTCTGATGCCGAAAGCATGTATTAATAACAAAGAGTTCATACCGTTCGACAAAACGAAGAAGGCTTTCTCCGCTGGTACATTCGATGCCATATTTATCAATTATCGAAGTCATTGTAGAGGTATCATGATCTACGCGCGCATTTCAATTTCCTCCCAATTGTAACCATTTCACCTCTGAGTAGAGATGTTATGTTATTAATAATTGAAGCTTCGCATAGAACTTGTCCTTATCGTGGTTATCTACCCACGAGATTGCAGCATATACGCTGATGACTGAAATATTGCAGAATTTTCTTTGAAATTTGCGTAAGTCATACGGGTTATTTACTGGCTTCCACTCAATCAGAGCGGATCGAGCCTTTTTGGATATGGCAATCGCTACGCCATTTCTCCTCGATTTATCCGAGACATCACAGTGATATAGCAATATCTTTGCTCGGAACCAGGTTTAATAAATACTTAGGAGCCTATGAGGGAGACGGACCTTCGACAAAGCCACATTTACGTGATATTTGGAAAGGGTGTGGAAAGGGTGCCTGACTTGCAATGTCCATTAGTATTCTAACGTTCCAAGCAATTATAGCCAGCATCTCGCCGCGCTTCCAAAGCGGATAGATTTTCGCTTCCCTTGATGCGTTTTTGGTAATTATCTTGATTCGCAAATTCTGTGTTTTTGCCTTGAAATTATTTTATGATTATTGCGCCCAAACCTTGTATTTATCGCATGTACCACTGAGTCAAAAGTATTATCATGCTCGTTGGAATACGCGGATGTCGCGTCAAAGAGACCTGTCTCTTTTATCATAGGTTAACTTGAGGTCCCCAGTAGCCACTGAGATTTTTGACGCCATCACTCCTGTTAAGGACAAAAAAATGGAGGTAATTAAGTTTAAAAAAAAGAAATTTAAAGATAGCTAAAAAAAGAAAAAATCAAAGGAAATGTATATATGTATATACATATATATATGAATAAGGGTTAAATTACATAATATAATTACATAATATGTATATATATATATATATATATATATTATTTAATTGACAATTTGTTAAATAGAAAAATATTAGGTTAATTTATGAATGTAAATTGAAAAATTATGTTTTATTGAATGAAATTTTTTTAGGAAATGAATTGCTATGAAAATATGGCCACATTTAAGAGCTATATAAAAGGTTTTGTGAAAAAAGTGGTTGATTATATGGCAGAGAAGGGTAGAAGTGACACTGAAATCAGTGAATTTAAAAAAAAGGTGCAGGCATGGGTTGCTTCACTTCTGACCAAGGATCGTTTCAAAAAACTGCAATTTTTCATCGGTTCGTATCTTTCATTTTTCAAAAGTTAATACTTTATAGAATAATGATACATTTTCTCAAATGCAAATATATTACAGGAGAAAGGATGGCTGAAGGACAAGGTGAGGGACAAGTTGCAATTGTAGAATATAGGGATGAGGATGAAGGTGAAGTGCCTTATCTTATGTTAATTAAAGAGGCTGTGATAGAAGAAAAACAGTGATTCTTTGCTGCAAAATTTATATTTTTCGTAATTTTTGACTATTTCATGTTTCATCTAATGATCATCTATTTAACATCTTTTTAGTAAGCTATATATTGTTTAATTTTTTATCAATTGTTGTTTTATATTCTATTTCTATTCAGTTCTATATTGTTATTGTTAATGGGTATGGTTTAATCGTTTGACCATCAATAAAGTACTGAACTTCTTTTTTGCTTACATCATTAGTGGTTACAGCTTTTTCGAGGTTTTCACCCATAACTTTCTTTAATTGAGGAGTTTTTTGGAGAAGTATTGCAAAAAAAGCCAGTGATGAGTGGCGATGGATATCAGTCGGCAAATAGTCTTTGGAATTTTGGTGGTAGGGGTATTTTCACTGAATTGGTGTTCATTTAGTGGTGCAGTAGTTAAACGTCATAATTGAAGGCATCCTGGTGTTGAGCTGTTAAGAAATAAAGATGGTGCGGACAAAAGTCGAAATCGAGCAAATGTTGATCAATGGAGTTATCTCTGGTAAGTTAGCCGTTTTATATATGCAAAAATTTTTCATATCAATGAAATTTAGCGTGAAAACTTCTACATAATTGGAGATTAATTTTTGGTGTCCTATGAACCATTCCCGTGAACTGTGTGCCTATACGGTTTTGCATTTGTAGAAATTATTACAAAAAGTGCTATAAATTGCACTTGTAAATAATAAATAGGAATAACAGTCTTACGACGATGGGATGAAGAATAAATTTAATTAATTTCGTCATTGGCAATTTAAAAAGACGATTAGCCTCGATTCTTGGGAAAAATAAAAGGTCTCGGTCTCGTTCCATGTTTTTGTATAGGTTTTCTTCGTTGGATAGGGCACTGTAAGGGAGTGCTTCTCAGAATTTTTGCTCTTATTATTTCTTTACGCAAACTATGTTGAGGACCTTCAAAGGCTTTTTTGGTTTATGCAAGTTATCTATCGATATTTATTCTCAGAAATTAAGAAGAGATTTTTAAACAATTTATTTGCAATTATTTAAACAATTATTTTTAAATGAGGTTCACTTCACCTCATTTAAAAATAAAGATGAGATATTATGATAGATTTTTTTTATAAGAAACGATATTTTCCAAAATGCAAAAAAGAATTTGAAGTTGTCTTATTACTTTTTTAAAATTTTTTTAAAAATCTGGCTTAATTGAAGGAAAAAGATAAATTATCCTTAAAATTATTATTATATAGCGGGCCATAAAAGGATCGTCAAGAGACACAGGAGCCTTTGGACCATATTTTGAGCACCGTTGATTTAAAACAGCACAATTTAACGTAAAATATTTATGACAGCGTGGTGGAGGGATGTGGGATTCGATGTTATTACTATCTTTTTACTAACTACAATCCTGTAAAACTTAATTTTAATCACTCATGGTTTTTTTAAAATTATTGTCTCTGAAATTTTTTGTTAATTTAATAAAAAAATTATAGATTCATTTGATGATTTATTGGTTTCGAATGAATTATTGGAAGTAATCACTGACCTATCACGTAGCGAATCCACAACTTTTTTGGTTAGCAATGAACTTTTGAGAATATTGAGTAAAAACTTGCGCTTGATGGGAATTGCAACTGTCAATAGCTTGACAAAATCTTGGTTGAATTATTGCTACGATGAAAAATGTGGCAGGTGATTTTTATGCAGATAGATTTATAGTTCTTTATAGTTCTTTTCGTTTATTATCCCAGTATTTTATTTGTATTAAAATTTAAGTTTATTTTATTAAATTTTCACATGTCCTTGTTAATAAGAATTAATGAAAATAATTTTTTAGCGAAATGAATTTTTTTAGGAATTTTTGCTTATTACTGCTCACTGTTGTAAAATCTGTTAATTTGTCGCAAAATAAGCAATTAAGTGCTCTTCTGAAAGAATATATTCCACCGATTTACCATTTTTTTATATCGAAGAATCGCATTGATTTAGCCGATATAGTCGTTGAGTCATTATATTACATATTGGCGAGAGAGAAATATTATATGGATGATAGCGAAAAATGTCAACTTCAAGCAGTTTGGGATAGTTTATTTCTGGATAAAGTTGTAAATTTCCTACAGATTATTTTTAAAAAAGAGCGAAATTTAAAAGAAAAAACGAAAAAAGCATAATAAGATTAGTAAATTGTTTACTTTAAATCGAGTAATAAATTTTTAGTATGTAATACAAAGAAATCGATATTAGACATTATTTTCCATCTTTTTTGCTTTAATTTCCTAACTTTTTCGAAAGATTTTTTAGCTTAGTTCTTCGTGTTGGCAAATGCAATTTCAGAAGTCAAGCCGTTCTCCATTTCTGCTTCTTTCATCTTTTCTCTTAGATTCAATTTTCGAGCGAAATGATTCGGAAAATTTAGGAAAATTGCTGGAACAATTTCCCAAACCTCAAGACATTATTGGTAATACTGACGATCCTGCCATTTGCTCGCGAATTCGAGTATATTTATACCTTAATTTCGTTTTTAAATCTAAGATTGGACTAATTTCCACATTTTTAAGTTTTAATTTTGATGAATTCCGAGAAATCGAACCAAGTATAGTGAGGCTTAAATTATTTTTAACTAAGTGTTATGGGATTAAGTTCATTTATCTTTTTTGTATGGACTGAGGCAATATACTTCGCATATTTTTATTTTTTATTTCTTGTAATGATAAAAATGCAGATTTTCTGATAAAAAAGATAATTTGAATTATGTATATAAATCATAAATTCATATATGTTTCAGTTTTTCAATTTTCTTTCGATAAATTTGGCAGCAGTTCTTTCCCGGAGCTCTTATAAAGAAATTTTCAAACTTGTCGAACTTCTTGCTATATACTATTATGAAGCAAACTGTGTTAGTTTTTCTCAATTTTTTCGAAATTTTTGTTTCATTACAGTTATATATTCACTGAAAAATAAATGATTGCAGAATTGTATTTGATTTTCGGTAGATTTTAACGTTTATCACATTTTTTAAATATGAAAAGTATCATTTGATCAGTTTTTTGAACAGTTACTATATAATTTTCCTAATTTCATTTCTTAAATTTTTGCAGTTGTCTAAGCTCACAAATATGTTCTCTTCATTGCCTGAAACCATAAAAATGTATCCAAACGTTGTGTATTATTGTTGTATTCTTAAACGTTTTTCGAAAGATTTGCGAAAAAGAAGTCAAGAATTGTCTACCCGTCGTAAAATTTTTATTCAGTTTTTCTCAAATTCATTAATGGAGTTAATAGATTTGTTGAAATCAAGTTTTAAAAAAGGCTGCGATTTGTCAAGGTTAGTTCAGATATTGCCTTAAAATTATTTTTCTTACTTTTTTCAATAATTCTATTTTCTTTTTTCCTTTTGTTTTTTATCTTTTTGGTTTTTTTACTTCTTTTATTCCTCAGCATCAAAGGATCTGTGATGAAAAAATTGTCTGAATCGGTGACGGCATGCTTCCAAAAATGTTTATTTGAGCAAAGAAAAATTTATGTTTTTGGCGAAATTGATAAAAGATTCGACGATGTGTTTCGTGCTATAATTTGTAATGGATATGCTGTTCAATTTCTACCATATCGCGTAAAAGCCATATTACTTGCGATAGTTATGGGTTCAGTTTTGTCTCTTCATCAGTCCTTGCAGCAACCTTGCTTGAATTTCATATTAACTGCTATCAAGTATGACCTATTTCATATTTATAGGGATAATTTCACCAATTTTATTTTTATTGATAATTTTTTATGGGTTTGATGCCATAATCTGTTCGAATTTTTCAAATTTATTTTTCGATTTATTTTAATTTTTTTCAAGATCAGATTCTCGTCTTCTCACCTTTCTGGCTAATATTGAAACGAATGCATTCATCGCCTTTGCTTGTTCATCAGTTTCTAAATATTTAACCTCTGGAAATAGAAATTTCCAGAAGATCATAGATATAGAAAAATTGATAGATCAATGTGAAGTAATGCAAAATATACTTAAAGAATTTCTTATTTGTGAAAAAGTGGAAAAAAATGTTATTGAAAGAGTAAGTTAATAGTATCATTGAGAAATTTTTACATTAAATTTTTTCTTAATTTTAATCGTTAATGCCATTTTTCTTTTTTTAAATGCTGTAAACCGATATTTGTAGCTAGAAAATTTGATAAATTTATTTCTTTCGAATTTGGCTCAAAAACACTTTAACCATCATTTTCAGCTGGGAATATTGATGAATAAATTTACTGATTATTCAGTGGCAGAACAACGTATAATAGTTGGAGCTGTTATTTCTGCTATTAATGATCATTCTATATTAAACACTGATAAGAAAACAGTTTTACTGAATTTTGTGAATTCTCAGGTTGATCTGAGTTGATTTCTAATGGGTTCTTTGGTTTCAGATTTTTCAAATTTTTAATATTATTTCTCATAATACTTTGAATGAATTTTGAATTTTTTATCTGAATTTAAGCTTGAACCCTTCTTAAAAGTTATTTTTTTATAGGTCACACCACATATTTCTAATTTGACAATGGAACTGACTCGAAAAAGACTAGAAGAAATAGATTTTTCTAAATTAAAGCTATATATATCATATCTGGAACCACTTCAACATTTAAGGCATTTTTATAAACGGTTGACTGGCGGCATTACAATGCCAGTTGATCTCGGTGCAGTAATTCACGTTAGTTTTTTTATTTTTTTCTGGGAAGTTTCTTTTTTAAGAATTTCATTGAGAAACTTTTATACAAAATTTGGCTAATGTGAAAATATTTTTATGCGAAATTTTTTTAATATGGTCAGTTTATAATTGAAATATTTTCAGACTTGCAAAAAAATTTGTAAACATCCTGAAATCTATATTGATAAAACGACAGCTAGAGAGGAACATTTGGCTTATATTATAGATATATCTATCGAATTTCTGATTAAGGTTGATGGACTGAACAATCTCATGAAATGGAAATATCTTGCGAAAATTGCTCATTATAGCAAATCGATTGAAAAAATTGCTT